TCATAGATACCAAATTGGCATACAATCTTTTCGTTGTCTAATATAGCTGATTTTTGTATACATATACTAAAAGTTTTAAGTGTATTATTATATGTTAGTCTGTGTATTATAAAAATGTTCAGTTAAACATTTCAAAAATAGAAGCAAAAGATTTCTGGACATTCTACTTTAATTTTATATAGCCATCTTTATAGTTCTGTAATTCTGAATTGTGAGCTCTGTGAGCTGAGTGTCATAATTGAGACGTACACATTGGTTAGAAGAAGTTTTACTGATCAGTGCAGCGCTGATCCTGTTATTTTCATTTTGTTTGTGGATATTTTTATTGTAGCATTATATAGAAAGAGGTGAACATTTTAAACTAAATCTGTGTTTAATTTGAAGCCTTAAAATTGGTTGTTTATCTGCCAGTAGAGTTTATTTTGCATCCAGCAGATCAGATTTCAAATGGCAATACAGCATAATGCAGATTTTATGTCGACTCAGTGGAGAGGTAGCTATTTCCATGCCTGTTAAAATCTATGCTGTAAGTACTGGAAGACTTACTGTAATAATAACTACAAGAAATAAAAAATAATTGTGGAGATCATCAGTAGTATTCCTCATTTTGTATAACAAATGATTCAGAAAATATGAAAAATATTTTAATGTGGTTTTACTTCAGAAAAACATTTTAAGCTGTGTTTGCAGTTTTGCAGCAGAAGAAATAGAGAACATATATTTTTCATATACTGTTCTATTTTTGTTTTGGTGTAACTGAATAAAAAGTTGTTTTTTTTTTTTTTTAGAACTTGGACTATGTTGAATATCATATGCCAACACCATTATATATGTAATAGATAAGAGAAGTATGAATTATTACATTACCTATAAATGTAGTCTCACTTTAGGAGAAGCACTCCTCAAAAGAAGAGACGCTGTTTGTCAAGTTAGCCATATACTTCTTACATTTATATAAAATAATAAAAAGTTTTCTCTTTAAACACCTGTTGCAAAATGTTTGTAATACAAAGCAAAGTTAGAATAAATCTCAAAGTCTAAGCTATATGAGAAGATCACAGACTTCATAAAAGGACAACTGTTAGTCTTTTCAAGCTACAGAATATTCTCTGTAGTTTGGCAATCATACTCGGTGGATTTTTTTACACCGTTTTGATTTTCTGATATGTATGGATAAACTGATTTCCCTAGGAAAACGTTTGAGAAATTGCTGCAATATTTTATTCCCTAGGACATATTTTGCCAAATAGATCTAAATATGTTCTTAAAGCTGAACACATGCTCCAGTTTCTTCTAGAGTCAAGAACACAGTGATGAGCAAAAAAAGATAGCATGACAAAATTGTAGAATTCTTCCTTTAGGACAATGTATATTATACATGTTAGCGAATACCTTTGTCTGTAAGCGGTTTTCTTTGAGGAAATTCTGTGGTTGTTTGTGTAGTTATAAGAAATTAAAGTGAAAAATTAGCTTCACAGTACCATCCACTTATACTTCATTGATTATGTGAACTGTTTTGGTTGATGTAAGTTACTGATCTGAAACTTTATGAGGTATTTTTCTCACAGTTGTACTGAATGCATTTTCCCACTTGCAGTTCTCTACTAGTTTTGTGGTATCTATTGAAGGGTATGTTAAATCTGAAGACTTTTTTGCTCTGTATTTGTCTTACTGTTTCTGATTCCTTTGCATTTAAGGGATATGATGCAAAATTTAAATGTTTTTGATAGATCTACTTGCTTCGTATTTGCATACAGTACTCAGTTTTTCAGTGCTCTATATTTCAGTATGATGTCCGCAGATTAGCAAATTATTTTTCTCTGGGAAGGATTGGCTCAAAGTTCGTTACAGTTTCAAAAGTGTCATTTAAAAGAAAGAAGCTGGAGCACAGTTCAGATCTGGATGTGAGCCCAAGCTTCCCTGGAATTCAAAGACATATGGGAGATAGAGACTGTAATTTGATTTACTAGGTACACTAAATCGTAGCTTACTCATTAGCACCAGTTGGCATTGTTTGTGCACTCCAGCTTCTATTGCAGCTACATGGTAGCTCAGACTCCCTTATTTCTGTGCAGCTGGGTTCTTCCTTGATTTGATTAGCTGTAAATCTACATTATAGATTTAAAAAAAAAAAACATTATTATCCTACAGTTTAACTTCCTGCCTAACACAGGGTAAAATCTTTGATCATTTTCTCGCTCTTTATCTAGTAGCTGTGACTGAAATACGGCTTATCTTTTAGAAAACATCCAATCTTGAGGGAAAACTTTCCATTGCTGTTGTCTGTCTAGGTAATTTGTTCCAAAGGATAACTAACCACCCAAAGGAAAACTTATGATTTACTCCTCATCTTCATTCAAGCAATCAAATCTCTTCTATGCTAGATTGTAGACCTCGCTTGTGATCACATTCCTATTCCTCATAGCAGTATTTATTCGCTGTGAATAAATCATACCTTAACTTACTTTTTGATAAACTAAATAGCGCTTCACATGTTTTTCTTCATGTAGCTATTTTCCAGTCTTATTTCTCTTCTCTGAACCCTCTCCATTTTTTCACTGTGAAAAGGAAAATTGGACACAGAATTTTAGTAGGAATTGCACAAGCGCCTAAGAAGAGATGACATCTGTGTTCCTCTTCAGTACTTTCACTTACGCACCCAAAAACTCATTCTTCCAGTCAAATGTTACACTGTAATCTCAAATTCATATTCAAGATTCCAAGTCATTTCATGTGCTCTGGTTCCGAGGACAGAACTCCTACATTGAGGTCTGTCCTATTTTCTTTATTTGTCAATGTATGACCTTAAATTTGAAAATAAAAGAAAACATACTGGTCCAGATCAAAAGTGTAGCCCAGTATCCCAACTGCAACAGGAGGAGAGCCATGATGATCGGGAGAGAAGTTTTCTGTGGTTGAGGCTCATCTCCTGCACTCTGCATTTCCTGACTTCTGATTTCCACAGATGGGGGAAACTTGACTGCATGATTTCTGGGAGCAGAAGACTCTATTCATATTTTACCAAGGCAGAAGAAACCCAGGACCTTAACTGAATGCCCAGGGAAAAGTGAAATCAGGGTAAACATAATTCTCCTTAACACTCTCCCGGCCCTCACCTGTTTTTAGCTCAGGGAGCTGAAAACTGAATGACATATTTATATTTTTAATAACCTTCAGAGGATTCCTCTTCATGAACTGATTCAGTCTCTTCTTAAACCTGTATAAATTTTTAGCTTTCACATAATCCTTTCACAAGGAGTTCTACTAGTATATTATCCCTTGTTTGAAGAACCAGATCCTCCTACTTATTTTGAACCTGGCACCTTTTATGCTCATTATTAAAAAAGGTTGTATCTATGTTAAAAGAGACAATGAACAGTCAATCCCTATCTCTCCCCTTTGTGCCATCCCTAACATTGTAGACCTCTATTATATTCCTTCAGTTATCTCTCTTCTAGACTGAAGAAGCCTTGATTATTTTTGCTGCTCTTCTCTGAAACTTTTCCAGTGCTACAATATCCTTTTGAAATTGAGGGTCCAGAACTGCATAAAGTTTTTAAGGTGTGTGTGAACCGTGGATTTATACAGTGGTGTAATGTCACTCTCTGTTCACAATTTTTTTTCCAAATACCTCCTAGTATGCCATTTAGTTTTTTGACTGCTATGTATGCTAACCCCAATATACCATTCTTAATTGTTAATGAGCAGCTGAAAACCTATCATTTCATGTACAGAGTTAGGTCTTTTTTTTATTCCCTCTGCTGTGCATCACTTCTCATTTGCTACTCTATTGCCCTATCTCGTAGTCTTAGAAGGTTCTTCAGCAGTTTGTCCCAACTGGCTGTGAGTGAACAAGTTTTTGTTGCTTTGTTTGTCAAATTTTGTCGCTTAACTAGTTTTTCCATTTCCATTGCGTTTATAAGTATGTTGAATACCACAGCTTTCAACACAGGTCTGTGAAACTTCACTAATCACCAGTCTTCATTGGCAGAACTGACATTAGTTTTTATCCCGAGTTTCCTCTCCTTTAGTCATTTTTTTCAATCCATGCCACGACCTTCCCTCTTATAACATAGCGGCTTAGTTTCTTTCAAAACTATCAGTGAGGGACATTGTCAAAAGCCTTAATGGGTCCCATTAGATTTCATCAACTATATCACCATTGTCCACAAGCTTGGCAGGTTGTGTGATGCTTCTTTTAACAGATCCATGCTGACTCTATAAGCATATCATATTATTCCAAATATCATCTTTAGCCAGATATCTGCTAGTTCTGTCCTTTATTACAATCTACTAATTTGTCAAGCACAGGCATCTAACAGGCCTTGGATCATCCCTGGAATTCTTTTCCAAGTTGACATGACATTTGTCATTTTCCCAGTACTTAGGCTGCAGAGTAGTTTGAAGTCAGAGGATACAGGCCACTTGTACTGAATCAACTATTTTAGCCTCAATTTGCTGTGTAACTCTTGAGTGAATACCGTCTAGTAATGGTAATTTGTTATGACTCATTTTGTCACTTTTTTCCATAAGCTGTTCTGCAGTCATTTCAGTTTTGGGCAATTCCTCTGAAACGTCCTTGACAAAGGAGGATTCCAGTTTTGACTCTCTCTTTTCTTCCAGAGTGAATGTCAGTGCAAAGAATAGAGATAGATAGCGTGTCTGAAATGTCTTTATCTTCTGCATGTGTTCTCTTGCTATCTACAAGTGTTTATACCAAAACTCACAGTACTGAACGCTGCCTAATTTAACAGTCCGTTTACAGCACGCCATATTAGTGATTTGTCATCTGCAGTATTTACTTTTGCCTCAATCTTTATGCCATTTGCAGACTTTATCAATAATTCAATTTCTTATTAAGTCTATGTTATTCAATACCATAGAATCAAAAATATTCTAGCAGGTTTCGCCTTTAGTAGTAGTTTTATTAGTACTGGGAGAAGAGATTAAGTTTTATATTAAATGTATTTAACATATGTTAATTATTTGCTTTATTTTAGGGAGGTAATCCAACAGCTACTGTAATTGCATTGTGTTCAATGAAAGATTTCAATCTGGCTCAAGAAACTTGTCAGCTGGCCATCCGAGATGTCGGAGGTCTTGAAGTGTTAATTAATTTACTTGATACAGAAGAAATTAAATGTCAGGCAAGTAGCTTTGTCAAATAGAGCAGTGAATATGCTGTTGCTGTTAAAATATTTTCTCAATTTTCAGTATTATATAGAATAAAGAAAATTGATTTGTTTTCTCATTTGATTTCTGTGTTTTCTTAGTTTGAAGGACTATGTCACGTAAAAAGTCAATTTCTGATTTTCAGTTTTCTTCTTTCCTTCTGATTCAATTTAAAAGATAAAATGCTCTAGATAACCTGGCATTTTAAATAATTTTACTATTTCTGTATTCTTAAATAATATTTAATGTCTATTATTTTCCATGATTTAGATTGGTTCTTTAAAAATCCTGAAGGAAATCAGTCAGAATTCACTGATCAGACATGCAATTGCAGATCTTGGAGGATTACAGATCATGGTGAAAATACTAGACACTCCAGATAAAGATCTAAAATGTTTGGCAGCTGAAACAATTGCAAATGTTGCCAGGTTTAAACGAGCCCGACGGACTGTAAGGCAACATGGAGGGATCAAGAGATTGGTAAGAAGACATTAAAATCAGTACCTTTTCCAAAGGCATATTTTTTCCTTACAATAGGTCATTTGTCGTATACCTGACTCTTCAGATAGTGTTTGCTATCATTAAAAGCAGTGCAGTATCAGGCTTCCCTGTATATAGTTAAAAAAAAAATTTATTTTGTTAGGTTGGGCTGTTGGAATGTATTTCAGAGGGATCAACTACTGTAACACCACACCGAGCAAAAGATTTTGAAATAGCACGCTGTGGGGCTTTGGCACTCTGGAGTTGCAGTAAAAGCACCAAAAATAAAGAAGCAATTCTTAAGGCTGGTGGCATTCCATTATTGGCTAAGTGGCTCAAGTGTTCACACGTAAACATCTTAACCCCAGTGGTGGGGACGCTACAAGAATGCGCCTCAGAGGTAAGTAAACACATACAGCTAAGTTATTTCCAATCATAAAAATAATTGGCTAATAAAATGAAGTGTTATCTTTGACTACCATTTAAAAACAAACTTTGTCCAGGACAGGGACCCAGTCAGGAAGTTTGAACTCAGAAGTGTTGAAGCTAGATGTGGTTGAAGTGTTTTTAAGACAGTCACAGCTTGTGATAAAATAAAGCCCACTTAATTTTTTAGTCTAAAGGCCAGGAGTACTTTGTGGAAGAAAATATGTAAAAGTGAAAAGATTTAATCAGTTCAATTTCTGTTGTTTTTTTCATCATTCCTGAGAAATTATATTTGGCAACTTCAGATACCATTTTCTGGTTAGCTAGTATGTTTAAATTGTACGAAGCTAACCTAGTGAGCAGGCTGAGATGATCCAATGCAGTGCAAGGCAGGGCAGATTACATTGTCCTTGTGAACTGGGGAAGACGGTATCTGATCAGTTTCAAAAAGAAGGAATATATGTGATTTCTCTACAGATTTCTGTGACAGGTTTTGCAACCTTGAGAATATCCAGATTTTAAATATGAACACAATTTTTTTTTACCTTAGCCATCTAAGAAAAGTAGATATTTCCGCATTTTGGGAAACATATTTCAACCTCAGGCACATTTCGCCTGAGCTCAAAAAGATGCATTAATTTTATGACTAATTTGAGGCATGCAAGACATGTTTTTGTGGTATGTTCAAAAATATCTTCTTGAAATACACAGGCTTATGCATGTCCCCTGAAGACAGACACATGAGAAATTTTAGCTTCAGTAGTCTCTATTGAACAAACAGGGAGTTCAGAAGGGTTTTCCATTTTCAGTGAGGTTCTTATTTGGCCAGATTTGGACATGTTTTTTGGGGAAGGCTAAATGAACCTCTTACACAGAAGTTTCCCCTGTCTTAAGTAATGGTTCCAGCTACAATGCCTGTGGGTTAAAATTTGAAAGGGAAGGTCACTGACAAATTTTAATGCTAAGAACATGCTTTTCTGACCTTGTTCTGGGAATTGATCTATTGTTTTGGCTACTGGCTCTAAGTGAAATGAAGGGGTAGTTGTTGACCCCATTCTGAAGCATCTGTTTCTTCTCTGATTCTGAGCATGGAAATAGTGTTTTATACATTTTGAATAACTTACGTATTTAATTTATTGTATACTGTGCAGAAACTAAAGAAACGTGAGCATCTGAGCACCTTTCAGAGTGTTCTAAATTGTTTAAGCCAGGTTCCTACAAAGTAAACATGCCAGCACCTGATTGTACTGCTGATTTTAAGATCACAGCCCTGCAGAGATTTTATGCATATGATTAACTCTGAGAACATCAGTAGTATATTCAAGGCAGTCTAGGCTACTTTTGCTTAAAATTAAGCTCAAGGCTTGACAAGATCAGAGCCTAAAATTGTAGTACTTCACTGTTATTGTGACTAGTGTTATTAAATGCTAATATACAGGACTTAAAAAGATGGAGCTTGTCTTTTTAGCAAAGTTACAGAATTGCAATAAGGACAGAAGGAATGATTGAGGACCTTGTGAAAAATCTGAGCAGTGAACATGAGGAGCTACAGATGCATTGTGCAAGTGCTATATTTAAGGTAATTGTATTATTTTAATCAGTAGATCAGAGGGGGGATTAATACTTTGTTTTCAGATAGCTGTCACTTAATATATCTCAGTTTTGCTATTTCTCTAATGTGGGAAAAATTACTTTGCAGAAAATGTTGATGGTCTGTGGCTGAATTTTTATGAGGGTGTTTTAGCTGTGCATTTAATATTGCAACTCAGTTCCTACCTGAATTACTCTCTTGTGTGCGAGTCCAAAATTGCACAGGTAACCAGTGGAGAAGGGTGGGGGCATGCTGTGCAAGGAGCTGCACATTTTGTTTTCTGTTAATTTGCGCACATGGTGAACAAAGTGACAGTATAAACGTTGCTACATGTGCAGTAGCTCTTTACTGTCAGAAGTCTCTTAGTGGGTAGCTAACATTTTGGGGGTATTTTAATATGCTATTTGTGTTTTCTTCTGTATTAGTTTTGAATAGTTGCAACATAATACACCTGGCTTTTGAAGACACTCTCTTCTACATTTTGAATAATATGTGTATTTAATTTGTTGCATAGTGTGCAGAAGATAAAGAAACACGTGACCTGGTCAGACAGCATGGAGGCCTACAACCACTGTCTGTTTTGCTTGGTAACTCTCAAAATAAGCAACTTTTAGCAGCTGTGACAGGAGCAATCTGGAAATGTGCAATCAGTGGAGAAAATGTGTCAAAGTAACAATTTAATTTTGCAAATATTTGTTATGCTATTATGTTTTGATTTTATGGGCCTATTTGGTTTTCAATTTTTTTTCTGTTATGATTCTGCAAAACCATGCCATATAATCATTTGGGCCTTCAACTTAGGTGTTATAGTGCCTAAAGATTGCCACCTGACCTTGTCAGGGTACAGTGGAGGCAGTGTTAAGTTCCTAGGATCTTAAAAGTCAAGGGTGAGAATCGGTGCCTATAAAGAATTGTTAAGCTATAGGACAATGAGCCGGGAGGTGTACTAGCACATAGAAAATGTTAGACGTGTGGACGTATCTGATATCCCCATTCACTCTCTGTAGCTTAGAAACCTGAATCATGGCTCCACAGTAGAGAAAATATTCAGCACACTTAACTTTAACACTTTAGGTACATATTGAAGTACTCTTTATAGTTAAATAGATAGAGCAAATTGTCTCATTCTAGGGTAGATACCTAAAATATGTTAGGTCCACCTATTTTAGAAATATCTTGGAGGCTAGGATAATTAGCTTCTGGAGATACCTCTCTCTGACTATAGAAGGGGCTCAGACAAACAGCTTAGTCTGGACACGCAGCTTCTAAATGAGTGACTCCTACCATAGGTAGCTACATCCACTTGGTATCAGAGCCTAGAGTCATTGTCAGAGGATGTGACAGCAGGAGTTATCAGTGTCTACCTTTCATGGAATCACTTAACAATTAAGAGCTCTAGGCTCCCTCAACTCAAGCTCGCTCATCAGATTTATGCACTCTCTTTCAAGAAAACGCCTGCATTACTCGGGTATGTGTTAGGCTTCCTGCGGAACTTACGCAGCTGTGTACAGAGGAATGCAAGATTCATGGGCTGGAAGGAAAACCAGCAAGAGGTAAACTCTTCTTGCAGCCCTAGTTTTAGCGTAAGTTGCTGGACAAACAGAGATATGTTAGATAGCCACTGGATAAAAATCAGAAAAAATTCCAAGAATCAGGGTTTTGAGTCTGGCTTTTTACATTGCTAAATGGGTTCCCAAACTGTTGGTATACAGACAGATCCATGGTCTTTACATACTCTACTTCTGGACCTCTGCTTTTTGCATTCCTGGCTGTACGGTAACCTGGCTTTTCAGAAGTGTGTATCTCCCTTTTCTATGAGCTTTGGTATCTGCACAGAGGCATTATGATTCTGGAGCAATCATCAGTGGTGAGATGGAGGGAATGGCTCTGTCTATGCTAGTAAACTAAATAAGGCCAAAACTTGGGTTCAGGCACTATGTCACGATCATCCATACTGTTTAACTGTTAGCACAATCCCTTACACAGTTTGGCTAGCAGTCTCCCAGACAGTGCCCAGACACTGCTTGCGAACAGCACAAGGCAACAGATTGTTCCCATTAGGCAGAATGGGTGAGGCCACCCTGCATTGTGAGGATAAGAGATTTTAGCCATATGGATGCTATGTTGTGCCTCTTGTCCTCAAGGCTGGAGAATGAGCCCTTGCCTGTTTTATTTATTAGTATAGCTGTAGCCAATAATTCTGGCCAAATGCAAACAGAATTTTCCTGGGCTATTCAGATATCTTTGGCAAGTGCTTGAAGCTCCACGAAGGTTACTAGCCAGGCGCAGCTCCAGACTCCAGCTGAATTCATGTATATTCTAGTGCAGAGTCTGAAGGAGTAAACCCTATCCAAACTTGGAATGGGAGGAAGCTACAGCAAGGGGAGGAAGGATTACACAAAAACACATAAGTAGATCTGGAGGGATGAGCTTGAAGCTAGCATGGAGCTAGAACTAACAAACCCTGCTGGTTCCTCAGAGCCACTGCATTATCTTCAAGCTGTATTCTGCAGGGCTTCCTAGACCTGAAGCACATTGCTGAGATGCAGTGCTGACTCAGCATTGAGCTGATATAGGTGCCTGGGCCTGACTAGCTCAGATTCCTCTTTGTGTGCAAGCAGCCGTACTGCTTCTGGACACAAGATGGCCTGAGCCAACAACTCTGTCAGAGAGTAGCCTGCCTATCGCAGAGCTAGCCCGTGTTACTCCATCTGTGAAACACTCCATCTGCAACACAGATAAAGCTCCCAGAGAAAATCTCTACTCTACTTTTTATTGACACTTTTGAAATTGCTGTGTTAACATTTTTTCATGCTGTTAATGTTTTCTCTTGAATAAAATTTTTAGGGACGCTTCAAGATTGTGAGGAACAGAGAGAGAGATGGTTTTTGCAAGATAAAACCCTAAATTATGAAAAAGGTTTCCTATTTTTTAGTTACATTAGTTGCATTGTTATCCTGGTGAAGAAACTCAGAAAGATTATCTCTTATTAAAATATTTCTTATTTGGCTATCTAAATCTCAAAATATGAATTTTTTTTTGTATGAAAGAAAAATCATAGGTACAGCTGATTCCTGGAAAATACAGAGTAATTGTAGCTCATATTCACATTAACAGAAGCTAGGGGCCATGAGGGAAGCACAAGTGAGAACTCTACCCTCAGAGAAATGATCTCTGTAGGGGAGGAAATATTTGTATTTACACAAAGGTGTAAATCAAAGCATAATTGTTGGATAATATACTGGTTGATATACCAAGTTGAGTTGTCAAGGTATATCACAGAAAATATATGGAAGGATGATACGGTATGTACTTGATAACAAGTGTTAAGAATCCTCTGAGTTCTGAACAAAACGTGAAGTAAGATGACCCCAGTACTGAGGACTAAAGTCCTGATCTGAAAAATGAACCTTTGAGGGTTAGCATGCGTCTGTTTGTAGGATGAGGCCTGCAGAAACAAACAGGCCTCCTGGAGTTTTAAAATAACGTGCTTGATTTTCAAAGCAAATTGCTGTGAAGAGTGAGGGAAGTACTAATGTTGCAGTCAACTCAGATTGCACACATTACACATTTCTGTCAACTTATTTCTTCACTTCAAAATGGAATATAACATAATAAAATAGAAATGTACTAGAACTGTCTGTCTGACCTCAAGAAAATGTAAATATTAGGCCTGAGCTAGCTATAGGAGTTGTCAGGACAAACCCGCTAAAGGCTGACATTCAGTGAAAAGTAAGAGTGATCCTTTGGCTGCAGAGAGCTGAAAGAGATGCTGATATACTACTACTCCAGCCCATTGTTAACATGGCAGAAAAAAGTAGTGGAAATTAGGAGGTCATTGTATTTGCCAGTCTTCCAGTATATTTTCATCTTTTATAGTTATTGCCTCCATATATTTAGTTTGAAACAGCCCTCAAACTACTCCTCAGATTCCTAGAGAAATATATTTAAAAAAAAAAAAAGAATAAGAAATTATGTTGTGCATAACACTTTCAAGAACAGATTGGAATGGTTTACATGTATTGTGATTTCTCTAACAAGATAATTTACTTACAAAATTAAACATTACAACAGTAACATATGGAAAATAACAACTTTGTTTTTATTGCTGTCATTTAGGTTTCAGGAATATAAAGCCATAGAGGCTTTGGTAGGACTGCTCACTGATCAGCCTGAGGAAGTCCTTGTCAATGTTGTTGGAGCACTGGGAGAATGTTGCCAAGAGCCAATAAATCGAACTATTATCCGTAAATGTGGTGGAATACCGCCTCTAGTGAAGCTGCTTACTGGAACTGATCAGGCACTTCTTGTGAATGTCACCAAAGCAGTGGGAGCTTGTGCAACGGAACCTGAAAATATGATGTAAGCTGTTCATTCTCATTACATTTGAAATATTGCAAGAAAATAGTCTGAGTAATTCCAGCAGATAATTCTGAGGGGAGAATAGTCAAAGTTCTAATGTGAAGATATTTTCTTACAAAAAATGATGAGTAGATATATTTGCCATCAGATATGGCATTGAATTCACAGATTAGTTACTTCATATAACAGGCATGTTTGAAAAGAAATTTCCAATTAGTAGTATTTTAGTTCAGACTTTTGATGGATTATGTGCCATACTGGTATAAATTCATCAGAATTAATAATAGACTTAATTTTCTGTAAAATATATGAATAGGTTTTACTTTTATCAATTCTAATGTGGATATAAAAGATATTTTACTTCTTGTTTTCCACAAGCTGTGTGGGTTAGTCATGTCCTACTGTAAAATGTGCTACATAGCAACACAAATAATTAACTAAGAAAATATACAGAACACAACAGTTAGGCATTTTTTGGAAAATCAGATAAGCCTGTAATAAATTGATTTTTATTAAAGCTAAGATTCAGAGTTACAGTGCACCATTTTAAAGCGCTGTATGATGAGGATCTGTTTTTCCTTCTTCTCTTTTTACTGTTCTCAAATCGTAGGTAGTAGCCTAAACTACAGAAGATAATTCCAAAGAAACATATGCGTTTAGCACCATGAAAAATCTTTTGAAACTTTTTAAAATTAGAATATTTTGTCTTTTTTGTCTTTCTTCATGATTCATTTTATAAAGTCAGACTTTTTCTTTTTGACCCTTTTTTCCCCTCCTATTCCTTCACAAAACCAAAGAAAAAGGCTGTCTTTTTACTGAGAGATGTGTTGCTCTCTTTGGTTTTGTGATGTAGATTTGCATGGCGGACAGAAAAACTTTGACTTTTATGATTAAGTGTTCCAGTAAAATGTTCAGGTCAGCATTTACTGTGCTTGCTGTTCTCTTACAGGGATATTTACCTCAAGATTTTGGGCATATTTCCTTCCTTATATGTAAGGAAGGTCAGAAAGAGAGAGTTTCATTAAGCTCCTCCTGTTCTTATTTGCATAATTCACTTGATATTCATATAGCAGTGCAGGGGATTCTCTTCCTGAATAGGGCTTTTGTTTTCATGCTTTGGCTGTCACCCAGTGGCAAAAGGCTGGATGGTACACAACTGTAAACATGGGTTATACGAACAGTTAGCCATGTAACATAAAAGTATACATAAATGAAATCACCCTCACCGCGTATTTTAGGTGAGGAATACTAAACATCAGCCTTTACACTAATGTATTCGCCTAAGAGAATTAATATCATAATCAATTGAGAAATTTAAATGCCAATAAATATAAATTAACATTTATGAAACCTCAGACATACTCCAGTACGCATGACTATCACTTGTAATATCCAGTATGGAGAGCTTCATACTGGAATGTGGTCAGTATAAGCACCAAAAATAACACGAGTTGCTGCTAAAATCGTGATCAAACAAAGTCCATCTTGTTTTTAAGAAGGCGAGAGCACAGGTTGTTTGGGAGGAAATTTTAAAGAGTTTGCCAAGAGTGGACGAAGGAATCGAATCTCAAATTAGGTTCGTATGGAAAAATTCTCTATTGAAGCTTCTCAACATTTAGGAAAAAACAAGCAGGCAAGATTTTAGTCCAGGGAAATAATGTACTTTTAACGACTATGAAAAAGCCATTACAGAGAGATTATTATTAGTAATAAGACTGAGACATTTACCTGAAGCATTGTGTCAGTGGAAGTTCAGAGTTGTAGCACTAGAAGAAATAATGGTGCTACCTTTTCCCAAGGCATGATTTAGTCAGGTGGGGAGAATTTTGATCCTGATCCAGCAAAATGTTTAAATAATGCTTAGCTTAAACATTCATGTCAATGGAACTACTCACATGTTTAAATGATTTGCTTGGTTGAGTGTTCTGCATCTTGCAGGGTTAAGATATTTGATTTTCCAAAAAAAAAGAAAAAACAACCCTGAGCCATCCATTCATCTCCCTTCTCTTTATTCTCGGACCAGTACAGCAGGCACTGAAACTGTAGTTCCTCATCCAAAACTGCTCTTGTCCTTTTTGGGATAAGTAAGTCTCCAAAGAAACGGGGGGCAAAGAGTCTACAGTATCACTTTGTGCCAAATACAGAATTTGGGACTAAAACAATATGTAGTCTTGTTAGAAAGTACTTTGAGGGTTTATGTTCTTTCTGTAAACATTTTTTGGAGGTTTTAACCAAAAATGTTAGGTGAACCCATATTTTGTGTGGAAAATAGGTAATGCGACTAAACTCTCAGACGTTCTTTACAAAATGGAACACCTGAGGGACATTGTTCAGAGCAACTGTGATTTCAGTTGGTTCTAGCACTCACTGGTTTTCCACTGCACAGCTATGCGGTTTGACCACATCCCAAGCATACAAAGATTTCATTGTTTCTCCAGCATTGCTTGTCTTCGCGTAACTTAGAGCAGTCTTAGGGCTGCTATCCTGGGGCTTAATGACTTTTTTGGCACAGGATGACTCCGTAGCAAAGTCTGAATCAAATACAGTTAACTAATCAGGATTCAGCTACCCAGGCAAAGTCTTTTTTTTTGATTTGTAAAACTTTCTCCCAATGAATAAATACCATCAGATGGGGCAGATCATAGCTGTGTAAAAGAAAAGACAGTCCTGACTTATCTCCATAGTATTTCCATCCCGCACTCTGACTGAGCTGAGTTCTTCTAGAGAAGAAGGAACAGGGATATGATCATACAATTACAAAACTGTATTACAAGACTTAAGCAGAGGTGGGCTGACTCAAAATTGCATAGGCAACCTTATTTTGGCATGCCTTCCTTTGGTTGCATAATTTGCTACCTTAGCAGCAATCTTGTAGATATGTGTGCTGTGTTCTAACTTTAACAAAAATACAAACTGTAGAAAAATAAGTCTTCTGTGGACACCTACCAGAGTCCTTAGTGGGGCTGGAATATTTAGTTCCTTTTCCTACGGTCTCTAAGTAATAGAAGACCGTTAGCTGCAGCAACGGTGTTTCTGCCAGCAGTGCATTATCGTTCTTGATGTAGGTTAATACTTTTTCTGTGGGCATTGACAGATGTTTGCTGAAATCAGGAATGGTGAGACATGGGAAGTCTGAATTCTTTGCATTTTCTGAAGGGTGTGTGTTGGCTTTTTATCTCAGTCTATTTGCCTGATGATTCTTATATCTGCTTCTACACCCTAGATCCCTCTAAGAACGATTCCCTTATCTTTACCCAGTAAGGCTATTAAGAAAAGAGTTGATCTGAATGGTTATAGTCAAGCAAAATTACAAAGACCTGAAAATATGTTTGGGGTTTTTTTTAGTGGACAGGGTTTAGCAGCTTCAATGAACTAGTGTGGCTATTAGACTTCCTAAATTCTATTCTTTTCGCAAGGTATCTATATATCATGAAAGATGGGTTATATGTCTTACCTTACAGTAAAGGGGAAAAAGTATGAGAAATTTGTCCTTGGATGGATATTAGAATTTGATTAAAACGGCCATAGATTGTATTTAAATCCCTTAAGTAGAGAGAGGAATGGAAATCAATGAACCTGCTTCAAAAGTCAAATGATGATTATATAGCTAGATAATGTAATAGTTCTTCCTTTCGATACGCTATCTTTGATTCTTTAAGTCAAACTGCAGGACAGTTATCCTTCCGTAGTTTTGATGCATCTTGTTGAATTTCAAATCTATCAAAATTTCTACTGTTCAGTTGCTAAGTATGGAAAGGGGATTTTGCAGTTTCTCAGAGAAAAAATCTACCGCTTACAATCATTTTGCACAGATAACTGAAGAGGAACCAAAAATAACGGAACTAAGTACTGGTTAACAAACACAGTTGTTTTAAGTAATGTGCAAAACATATTTCAATTAAATTGGGATTCAGATGTTCCCCTGGTTCCTTACCAGTTCCTTCAAAGAAAAACTAAATAGCATATCTCATAGTGAGGACTTGCAGAAGCTGACTTTCCCCTATCCTTATGAATATGGATTTCCTGCTGTCCACATTGGAAAGAGAGTATGTACGCCGCTTAAAACTGTTTGATCAGCATTGGAATGTGCTGTATGAGCACATGGATTTAGAGGTGAAGAACGGTACTGCAAAGAACAGGCTGTATTTCAGTCTTCGTCCTGACCCAGTAAGTTGTTTGGAACTTGAGTCCTCAGAACACAGTGAGAACAGGCTTGCATGAAGGCAGGAATGAGGAGAAAGATTTGTAGAGCACTTCTCATCTCTTTTCAGAAATAAAAATTGGCTCTTATTTTGCTTATATTTTAATAACCTGAAAGCGAGTACAGTATGTTTTGGGAAACCATTCAGTTTCTCTGACTGTAACAGCAAGTTTGAAAAGAAAGCATGGACAGTCTTGCCTCAAAAACATATATTTAATGAATTTGTGGTTGATTCAAAGTTTAGGATTTGTATAGGTCTCATTTTAGAAACTCTGCAGTGTCAGTAATTTGGTGTTGCTATAATAATCCAGAAGCAATGATCAATTTTATCAAACTGCTGGTACTAACATATTAAGGGGGGAGATCAGTAGTATGCTAAAAAGCCTATCACAAAGTTTAAGAGGATATTAATGGCTTACAATTTGCAAAAAAAACAGTGAATGAATTCCCTTCAATGGTTAAAAGCTGAAATTTTTGGCGTTACTGCAAGAGAACACACGTGGAACGCTGTGTTAAGATCTGGGCATCACTTTTGCTCTTGAAGTAATCAGCTCTTCTGATAGGTATTTTCGTCTTTTTACATTTTCTACTCTAAGTCTTTTGTTTCTGAGTTTTTGGTTGTTTTTTAAATATTAAGAAATGTTGATGTATCACTGCTTAATTTATAAGTAGTGATATGAAAATTCAAGCATTTGAAAACTGTGTATAAAGATGCTTAAGTTCTGAGCATTTGGTGTATTGTTTTTTTATCATGCTACACCCTAGAAGGGAATGATCGACCATAATTAAGGTAACTTAT